GCCTAGCATCCTTCCCAGCTTCAGAGGAAGCACTGCCTAGCTGGATGCAATAGCAGCTCAGACACCTTCCCAGGGCCTGCCTGGGCATAGAGAGAGAGCCCTTGTCACCAGGCCTGCATCTAGGGCCCTTGCCAGGGTTCGTGAAGGAAGTGAAGACTGTCCTCCTCATAGCCGGCACTCCGTAACTGCGCTTCCCAACTCCAGCTCCTGCCCTCGCTCTGACTCCGCAGGGTGGTGCAGAGCCACCAGCAACTGGTAGGCGGCTGCCCCTAGCGAGGCTCCCACCAGGGGGGCGGCCACTGGCACCCACCACCAGCCATTACCAGCTCTGAAAAAGAAAGGTGAAAGGGGCACTCAGCAGGACCCTCCTGGCCTGTCCCCACAGGGCCTGGGGACTGTAACGGAGAACTCCAAAATAAATACAAAAGTTTCTGGAGTGGGATTGGTGGGGGGGGGCGGGAATTGATGGTGGAGGGAGTGTGTCTGGGCACCAAAGCACAGCACTTACATAGAAAGGGGCCCCAGGAAAGCTCCTTGCTGACTCTTTTCTTAGGAAATAGCTGAACATGCCTATTTTGCTTTGTTGACAGGGTGGCTAACACCCCAAACAGTTGATAGGACATGCCCAGGGACAACCTTACTGCTAGAGAGAAAGGGAAACCCAGGGCCTGATGGTCCAGGGAGGTGGCTGAGATAACTATTTGAGAGGAGAGAGCCTGGGGGGACCTAGTAGAGTAACAGCACCAGGAAAAGCAAGCACCCACCTGAAGACTTCAGGACCCCAGCCAGCCACATAGGTGAAAAGTCGTGGGCCCAGGTCCCGGGCAGGATTGAGTGGATACCCGCAGTTGACACCCATGGACAGCCCGATGGCCAGGATGAGCAGCCCCACGGCCACGGGCTCCAGACCCGCAGGCACTCCCTTGTTCTGTGTGTCCAGGATGGCCAAGATCCCTATAATCAGGATCCCAGTGCCCAGAACCTTGGAGTGAGCAGAGGGAGAGCTGATGGGTCAGCTGGCAACACACCAGGACAACACTACCCCCGAGTCATCTGACAGTCAACTCTGGCAGCTGGCCTAGGGCTGGGGGGATGGGATAGAATCAGCCCCCACAGCCCCCTCAGAGCCAGAACAATAAAGTGGCACCCCAGGGGCGAGGGGTAACCTCTGGGGCTCTCTTCATACCCACCTGATCCAGGAAACCATTGCTCAGGGACAGATAGGGAGCTGGGTAGGTGGCAAAGATGGAGGCCGTCTCCTTGGGGCCAGTCACTGTCAGGTTGCCCCCTGTGTAGTTCTGTAGGGCATCTACAGGAGAGAGGACACCAGGGTCTCCACCTGTGCTCAACCCAAACCCACACCAGGTGCCCCTCCCCACGTCCCCTCTGTTACCGTAGTAGAGGGCATAGGTGACTCCTGAGGTACAGAAAGCAGACAGCAGCTGCACCATGCAGTAAATGGGGAGCTTGGCCCAGGGGAAGCGTCCCAGGAGGCACATGGCCAGGGAGAAGGCTGGATTCAGGTGGGCTCCTTCAGGGATCAGAAAAAGGAAGCCAACATCCATCAACGTCAGCTGCTAGGTACTGTCTGTCACTACTACTCTCTCCAGTGTTTTCAAGGTAGATGTTATTCCGGACATACAGATTAGGAGCTTGAGACTTTAAGGTTACCAAGGTCATACAGTGAAACCAAGGTTTAAACCTGGATCTGTCTTCTCTCTCTCTTTAAGAAAGCATTTATTCTGCCCCTCCCCTGAGAAGAATGTATCTCAAAGGATGGCACTGAATCTGCAGCTTCGGGAGAAGGATATATCTGACCAGAGCACACAGGA